GTGTCACCATAGATTTCCAACTAAACTTTCATACACACATCTCAAACACTTGTAAAAAAGCATCTAGACAATTAAACGTACTAAAACGAATAGGCAGACACTTAAACAGACTAGGCAAACTCACTATATATCACTCATTCATCCTCTCAAACTTTAACTTCTGTCCCCTCACATGGCATTTCTGTGGCGAAACAAACACAAAAAAAATGGAAAAAATACAGGAAAGGGCACTCAGATTCATATACGACGACCACACATGTACATACGAAGTTTTATTGGCCCGCTCAAAATTACCATCCCTCAAAATTAGACGCCTCAGAAATTTTGCAATCGAAGTATACAAAATTACAAACAAACAAACACCCACATACCTGCATGACCTCATCAGTACCACACAAAAGCCATACTCCTTTAGATACCACAACACAGCAGACATACCACAAGTAAGAACAACCAAATTTGGCAAACACTCTTTTCGATCTGAAGCACCAAAAATATGGAATTCTCTGCCAGACCACTTTCGAACAGCAACAACACTTTCGCAATTCAAAACACTTATAAACAGCTGGTACGGACCACAATGTAAATGTGTCACATGCAAACAACCTACATAATATACCACACAACAACATAGCATCACTTATTACTCTCATACAAGTACACAAGGTTTTTAAATATGCTTTTACACCCCATGTTTTCAGACTGATATCTGCTATTTTAAACAGCTACTTGTGTACATGTGCTTTTAACAAATGATAGTGCTAACCTAGTTGAAAATGAAATATGATGTATGAGTAAAGTATTGACTTTGTAACTGTTTTATTATGCAATGTGTATGTCCTGTATGTTAGTCGGTTTTAATAGCTCCTTAGAGCTAATGTTGTATTGTTATACCATGTACCGACTCTAAATAAAACTTTTGACTTTGACGTTGACTGCCTAATGCTAACTTCCCCGGTGCTAAAGGTTATAACTCGAATGCCTACTTACTTTGTCGCTAAGGAGTGGGCTTCAATGCCTAATGGTATTTCATAGATTAAATTTTATTGAAATTCAATTTAGTATGTTATAAGTGAAGATATGATTTCTTATAAGCATGCATGGCTTGCCATATCTAGCTTCTGACCATAGGTTACGTCCCCTAACACCTTTCCACTTGCAGGTCAGACATATCACTTCCCAGCATGGTCACACTTGAGAGATGTGTCCCCTTCCCTCTCTTACGCCGTAATGTCTGTGACTATAATCATAATTTCCACTTTAATTTTGTTTCATATCATATCATCAGAGTTCAAGTCGCTACTATGATTAAACTTAATTATATGGGTCAAAGAAGTAATATAGACGGTAAAATCCCATATAACGCTGGATCATAATGGAGGTATGTCCGTTGGATACGAATAAACTTAATTATATATATATATATATATCTCAGTAATATACATTCAATCATCAATTTACGAACACTTCCAGTATCTACTATCAGTAAAATATTTATCATATCTTAGAAGCCACATACGTAATAGGAAAATTTAATAAATAAACCATACACATTTGATATTAAGATACATGTAGCTACTACTCAGTAAAATGGATCAGTAATAATTAAAGGAATATTGTGTCCGTTAATCAAATCGTAAATTCAGATTAAATTTCAGATTATTTCTTTCTTGTGTTTTACAACACTTCGAGAAAGACATAACATATACAGTTTTTACAGAACAATGCAATGAGCAATGCTATACAGTGATATTACACAGTAACACTAAAATGTACTATAATCTTACTTCATAGTATAATTATAGACACAATAGGTTAATTTATTTAGATGAAACAACACACATATTAATATAGCATATTAACTATCAAATACAGTACATGTATAATATAACACATCACAAGTTAATGCCACACATCGTACAGTTATATATAATGTTATGTAATAAAATAGAATATAATGTCTTGTACCATAAGTACTGTAGAACGGTATGATAAAGTAATATGCCTTAATACATGCCATTAATTGCAATCTTTCAGCATATTACAATGAGTTACGTCCTGATCTAGTACAGATCAATGTCATACCATATATAACAGTACATCGTATTACATTGAGGTACAGTGTATTCTAGTACAGAAGTAGAATGTAATTTAATGCAATGAAATGTTTTTTTAAAATATTAGTAATAATGTAAATATCGGTCAAAAGCTCTTCAGAATTTATCTTATCTTATCTGTCAGTGACATGTTGATACGTATGGCAGTAGTTTCATACGACAAGATACATTATTGTACAGACTGTAACATACACAACTATATAGCGTTATTTCGTTCTTTTGTCAATATATAAGAACTTTTTCTTATTTACTCAATTCGGTTACATTTTGTTCACTTAATAATTGTACCAATTTGAACGCACTTGATTGCCAATACAAATATAATACAATGAAATTCTTCCTGGATATCGGTCGATTTGAAAATGCCCTCTCCCCCCCCCCCCCCCCTCTCTNATTGTAAAGACAAATGATCAATAATATGCTTGCATATTTCACCTCTAGATATATTTCGAATGTCAGATAAATCACACTGAACGCCCTTTTCTTTTTTCAATCTGTGTTACATGAATAGTTTAATCCTAATTTGTTCAGTTCGGCATGCATACTATCATTAGATGCTACCCTTTTGTCTAAATCTTTATTTAGAAATTGTTAGCTTAATACAAGCCAAAAATGTCCTAGCTCACAGTATACAAGACTATTACCTGTTCTTTTATCATAATCTTTTGCAAAGTTAGTATGCACTTTTTCAACATCCGAAGCTTTGTAAAATCCCAATATTCCTGAGCTGAATATTATTTACAACTGTGTCCAAAACAAATATGTCTGAATGTCGAAATTGTACTTAACTCTGCTTGTTCCAGTCTACTCAACTGTAAATGAGTACGCGGTTGGACAGTGCTAGAATTGTTGAATGCTAGCTGTCAGTGCCGAAATGTCAGCACCAGCTGTATGCTCCCCAAGGAGTTGAGAAAGATATTGGCTTGTTGCAAAGGCCATATAGCCACGGATAATAACTTGTGAACCGCTTTGAGATGACCTACGAATTAGGTTGTGATAAAGCGGTAAATAAGAACCTCGAATTATTATTATTATTATTATAATGTTTTTGGGTAACATTAAATTTCCCATTGAAGTTGAATAGCATACCAAAGTAATTAAAATGGTTTACAATCTGGAGTTCAATATTATTAAATACAGACTACTATTCAGTTGTGTGTGTATTGCTTTTTTAAGTAATGCGCTACTATTAAGTCAATAACTGATGTCATTTCTCATCAACTGCATTCCTTACATTAAATTACAGTGTAGCTGTTCATGATTCCTTAGATAAACACGGGGCAATCACACCGATGACCAATTAGTTATATACACATGGATCTTGACGACCTATGGTGTATGTGTAATTAATCAATATACACATTAATTTGTTTTCAGAAGTTTTAAAATAAGAAGAAAGAATCGAAATGTTCATGATCTAAACTACATATTAGGATAAAATTTTACTATACGTCGTTTAGTAAGAATTAATTTCAACATATACATAATGTTTGTGTCTCTAAAGTTGTTTGCAGAACATCAACTTTAATATGTCACATTTTTTATCCTAATATACATTCTTGATTCTGTACATATGTAGTTAAATAAATGGATCATTTTATATACACCAATTGTACGATATGTTTTATTTTACTACGAACGTCTAGTTTATAGAACGACTAGCTCATGTTTCCGAAAATAAAATTAATCTGAATGTTTGCATTTGGTGAAATTAAAGATAGAAAACTGGAAACGATTGGCCGATGTGTGTATATATATATTTGACAAATATCTTTGTCTGCACTGTCGTTATTACTTCTTTACCCATATATTTATTTAAGTAATACGCATCCAACAAACATTTGCTTGTTCAGATCCAGTGCCAATGTTGGATCATACTGTCGTTATTACTTATTAGACCTACAAATACATAGAATGTATAAACATAACGAATTTATATTAATTATATCGAAATTGTCAAACCTATATTATTAAAATAGGTCATTTATGTATTTATATAGAATACAAGAATACCATTTGCATGTTATAAATAGTATAAAAGTCCATGCTGTTGACGCATCGATATCAAGGCACATTTACCTGTACAGCGATGGGATTATGCATCATTTTTACCTTTTACCATAAGTACTGTTCCAGAAATAAATCAATTGCCTTTTCGCTAAATGTACATTTTCAACTTGTTTGGTTAACTCATATGCAACAAAAAAAATAGAAGTGCAAATAACACATTTCACAGGCAATATTTAATTAACAAGGTTGGCGTTGTTTTAACGGTTATATTCTATCATATATACATCAAGACCAGATTTCTTTAAAACATGTTGGGCTGTAGGTAGATTACGTTTCAGACAATTACATAAAATATACATGTATATGTGTTTTTCACAATCTCAGTGCAATGTCTGATTTCTTTTCTCTTCGGGTTTAGTTGCGGTTATCTTTATGCAGAAATAATGGAACGTGTTATGTCAACCTTTGACCCCTTCTCAAATATAGAAGGACCGACGTCACAAAAGGTTTACGATGAGTTCACCAGGAAAATCCCCTTAAACCAAATCCATGTTCGCCGAAAGTGGCTGGATGCAAGATTAGGATAACTGTTTTACTTCAAAAGGGAAAAAATCACGATTTTCCTTTATTTCAATATTTACATCGTTTAGATACGTTGATTGTCAAATACAAATATACATTTGAGCTTGAGATTATATCATGAATCGGGATTTTCCATTAGTTCACCATTTACATCGTTGAGATACTGTTTAATGAAAATACTTTTTGAGCTTGTTATCATAAAAAGGCCATATGCTTAAGAACATCATTCCCTTTTCATGAACAGTATATAATGTATATATGCTTGTTCCTATATATCCCTTGGCAAGCGCACCAACATGCCCTGTCTCCTGCATACACACACGCAAGCACGCATACACATGGAGGCACGTCCTTAAATGACCTTAGCTGTTAATAGGACGTTAAACAAACTTTATACCGATCATCGTACATATATCTGCAATGATTTTCGCACTGAGGAAGAGTCGTTCAAAGATTTTTCTCATATTTCCTCATCGCCGTACCTTGCACAAGGATGGATACTTCATACCAAACTGCAATCAGCAATATTTGAAGAGCATTTGGTCTTCGAGAGGGTGACATGACAACTTTGATAGTGACGGGCGTACAGTATAAAAGGAGATATAATGTGCTAGAACACCGACTTCCGTCAGTGAGATGAAACTCGCAAGGGCGGATTCATGTGGGCGCAAAACCCTTCAACCAACCAACTTCTGTTTCACTACAGGTTCCACATGGAACGCTACACGCTCCCCTCTAAGCACTTCAACAATATAAAATGTTTCGTAGTGCGTTTCATCCAGAATGATAGTAAATCTAATATCATGGACACGACCTTCAGTTAAGATCCACGGATCTTCCAAATAGTGTCACTATGCACAATGGTGTTTTTACCTATGTGCCTTTTTGCGACAACAGCAACGTTAACGTTGGGTCGAAGAATTTATGTTCTAAAGTACAGTGAGGTAGCTTGTCTGGAGGCAAAGTTTGAACTCGGAATCAGCAAAAGTAACATACCAACATAAATAGCAGAACAAAAATAGTGTACATTCATTCTTTTTATTGATCTGGTTGACAGAAATACGGAGATAATTTCTTGAATCTTTCTCTTTGCAGCAATAGATGCTACATGAAATTAATTGCTCTTTAATCACTTCCGTTCAATGTGGACATCATCAACTACCGCTATTATTTATTCAAAATTTACTACAAGTAACAATAAATAACTTAATTAATAAGTCAATTAATAACATGAATTTATTGTTTACACCTTTCAATCAAGTATTCATTCTTTCATTCATACGATCTTCCTCTAATTCTTGAATAATATGGATTAATGGAATATTCGTGGAATAACTATAATTAAAATTGTAGATCAGTTTCTGATTTTCGTGATTTTATTACAGCAAGAACCCAGCGCAGATCCCTGTATTATTCCTGTTACACATACTTATCCACGTATTTCGTTTTTTTAGACTTAAACCATTTAGCTTTCAGCATTGCTGCTGATGGCATGAAATAAACAATTTATGTCTGAGGCGTTAGATTTTTTATTTCTTGTATTAAATCATTTAGAGCACCTTCAGGTCTGCAAAAAAAACACCAAAAAACTTAACAATTCCAAAACAAATGGTGATATTAAAAAGGTGATTATAGTTTTTTTAAAGCATAGACTATAAGTCCTTGGCCAGGACCAACATTCCATGTGCTTTACAATATCCTCTGTTGTTTACATAGACCTGCAAGCACTACAGACAATTTTGTTTTATTTTAACAATTCAATAGCACTCACTAGTTACTGACATTCATTCTGTTATCCTCAGACCTTTACATAGATCACTGTTTAATTCAAGTAAGCATTTGCTAATCTCCTGATTAATACACAAATAAGGTATGGCTACTATTAAATCATCCTCTACCATTTGCATAGACACACTCATTCAGTTACCCTTTGTTTTTTACCTAGGCAAACACTCACTAACACATCATTTATTTTCTTTCTCCAAAGTTTTCTTCAACTTTGAGATTTCTGCGAGTCGTTTGTCTCTCCAGCTCCGCCTCTCTGCAAGTTTGTCCAATGGCATGGTCTGACTGAATTCCTCCTGGACCTTCATGGCCGTTTCCACGTCATACATCACAGGTACTGGTTTAAATGTCTCCTTCTGTACGTTGTAGGCTCCCTCTGCGTACCGCTCACAGTAGTCTGCTATCCCTGTATTAATGGTATAGAAGAACCTGATTAGTATGGTAGCTTACCTTATTGCTTACCTTATTGCTTACCTAATACTGAGGCATTTTCAGGATTTGAGTTAATTGCCGTTTCCGTTTTCTTTCCTTTTCAAGCAAAGAATTTTGCGTGGAACGCATTTTTCTAACAACACAGATGGATACCAGTTATGTTGAAAAAATGCCCTATCTATCGAATATCAAGTGCTTATATACAATCAAAATCGTTACGGCGTCAACAAGTCGTGTTCAAAAAGAACACGCCTACAAACCGAACGGTTGTTTCAGCGTGTCACTCACTGTATCTGGCTCGTCGATTGGTCGATAGAACGTTTGAGGTCGGTGTCGTCCTTGTAATCAAAAGCAGTGTACAACATTGTATCTTTTTGGAGACTTGTTGTTTGCGCGCTTTGTCAACTTACAATTACACATTTACATTGCATGTACATGTTTCAAGCCATGTCTCATGACTTAAATGTTTTGTTTATTATGTACTTATCCACATTACAAGAGGGCAAAACGAAGAACATTACAAATGCTTGGGTTTAAAGGACGATAATAGTTATGCCTATTTACTTGGTCTCTAAGGTTTCAGCTTTATGCCGAATTCTTACGTTCTTGGTCCTAAGTGAGATAACTTTTATGACTACTGTATTGCGATTCAATGCCTCCTTGGCCCTAAGGGAGGTAACTTTAATACCTACTTACTTGGTCCTAAATGAGTTTAATTTCATGCCTACTTACTTGGCCCTAATAAAAATAATGTTGATGCCTACTTACTTGGTAAGAGAGTTAATTTTGATGCCTTCTTACTTGGTCCAGTGGCAATTTAGTTCAATACCTATTGTCTTGGTCCTGTGACAGGTTAATCAAATTCTTACTTAATTGTTCCTATGTCAATTTACTTCAATGTCCACCTATTTAATCCCATGTTGGTTTACTTTTAAAACCCTATTTATGGATCCTCGTACCACTGCCAAAAACTGTATCTGAATAAGTTTAACTTTTATAAATCATTGATGAAAAGAAAGCCATACATTGTGGGACTCTTATGAGAAATAATAAAGGCACTTAAACAAAATTATAATCAACAATAGTGTTCTGAGGGTAAAAATTGATTAGGGCTAGACCAGACTGAATCATTGACTCAACATTGTTATACAAACCCTCAGACCGACTGGCCCCAGTTTCATGAACGTTCCTTAAGCTAAGGAGCTTCTTAACTTAAATATCTCAATAGGAAAAGTATTACATATTTTAAGTTAAGGAGCTCCTTATACAATACATGTAGCTTACGGAGCGTTCATTGTCTTTGTCTAGCTGTGCTACAGTTAAACCAAACGGCAGGTAAGGGGAGGCTACTGTGTATAAATAAAATCACAGTTGAGGGGACTAGGATCCTTAATCGGATAGCTGCATTACAAAGGCTCGGCTCTAGTATATACTAAATTACTTCTTTCTTAAATTTGATTTCATCTTTTTCACCCCTTGAACCAAATCAAGATTGCAAAACAATGCTAAAATTATGATATTATATAGATAAGTAGTTTTAAGACAACAGAGAGACTACACTCAGTGAACAGAGTGCAAAAAATTGGGGCTGCAAAAAATATTTTGGTTTACAATAGGTAGTCCTTTCATACACATTACAATACTGTAGTGTGGATTTTGTTAATCAATTACTAATATTCTACACAGGAAATAGTCAAAAGAAAATTTAAACAATGCTCATATTTAACTGGAAAACATTATTTTTTGATTTATAAAAATTATACAATAAATCTCTCAATTTCTGATGAATGCTTTAAACTTGATAAAGAAACTGGCATGAAATTTGTGTCACAAAATCTGTGGTAACTTCTATAATCTGCCTAACTCATATTTTATTTTTATGTGACAGAAAGTTTTAAGAAAAGGGAAAGTAACCCAATGGACTTGTGAATGTTAAATTGTATACACTAACCATTAGCATTGAGATGCATGGTCTCCAGGGGTCCGATAAAAGCATACCGCAGACCTAGTCCATCATGGCACACTCTGTCAATGTCCTCGGCACTCAGCAGTCCGGACTAAAACAGAAACACAAGCATTTATGTGAGGCAAAGTGCCACCTCCAGAGTGAGAAATACCATATTTTAGCTCACTCAGGCTAATCCCAAGAGAGAGAGAGAGAGAGAGAGAGAGAGAGNACGTCGCGCACCTGTCCACTCTGCCCGCCATCTTGACATATCTAGCGAGGACATAACAGTGAATATTTGAAAAAAAAAAAAAAATCAAGAATTTATTAAGCATTACTTGTATGTTTCTGTATAAAAACAGTTATAGTTCTACTTCATGTCACTGAATTACAAAGCAATATGTGTAGTCGTGTTTACCAGTTTTTGTAGCCCTCTAGATAAATAGAGTAATATGTGTAGTCTGGTTTGCCAGTTTGTGTAGCCCTCTAGATAAATAGAGTAATATGTGTAGTCTGGTTTGCCAGTTTTTGTAGCCCTCTAGATAAATCGAGTAATATGTGTAGTCTGGTTTGCCAGTTTGTGTAGCCCTCTAGGTAAATAGAGTACTATGTGTATCTCTGACTACCTACCTGATACATGTTCCAACTTTCATTGATAGCAGCATACTGGATTCTGTTCAGGGCGAATCCCAGACTTTCCCGGCGTAATGTGATTGGTGATTGGCCGATCTCTTCCATCAGTGTACGTACCCTGGTAACAAGTTCCTGATTGGTCCAAGGTGCTGGCACTAACTCCACCAATGGAATGAAGTATGGAGGATTTATCTACCAATGAAAATGTAGAATATTTAAGAACACCTCACTCCTATGAGGCAAAAACAACTCACTACCTTCACCATGGAATTTTTCTAAACTAACAGATCTCAATGTCAATTTTAAGACCAGGCAACTGTTGTGTGGGGCCACCAGAAAAAAAAAAAAAGGTGCCAAATGCAAGAGTTATGGGCCTTGTATTATTTGTATCTCTTTGACTACATCTATAGTGAATAACAGTAACCGCTAGTTAAAGTCTGCATGGCAATCAGACTTTACGAACTTGTTCATACAAGGTATTTTGGCTTATTTACATTGTATATACCCAACATTCATTGCAACAAACGAGATCTAAGGATTTAAGTAACAAGGTTACTGTCTAGTTTATACAGGTAACCAGATTATTCAGTATGGTTCAGAATATACAGGTTATGCTGCACCTTCCTGCTGACATTAATAATGTATTTGTTTTAAGACACCAGAAATTAGAACGGCTGAGTTAGGAATACATACCGGGTGAGCCACTAACATGTTGGACTTGTGAGTGAGCCCTTCTGTAAACATTGAAGCACACAAACAGCTGCTGGAGCTAGCCAAGATCATGTCCTTGTTCGCCATGGTGTCCATTTCTTTGAATACCTTCTTCTTCAACTCCAAGTTCTCTGGTACACATTCCTGGAGAACAATATGCCAACCACATGGATATTATATGGGTTCTCTGTGCCAGATCACCAAAATATGCAGCAGAAACAAGACTTCAATCTCTAAACAAAACATGATGAATTTAAATTCTAATGGGAGAGTTTGTATTTTAGAGAATACAATTTTATCCTATAACAGATCATCTTGTTGGTTCATAATTCTATTCTTCTTCTAACATGAACCATTAATAACAATTTTCAATAAAACATTAATAAATGAAATGGAAAGGTTGAATATTGAGTTAAACATTTTTATAAATCAGTTACAAAGCAATCGAGAAACCTCCCCCCAACTCCATTCCTAAAAGAAATAATGCAATTCTGCTGCTACGTCTGCCCATCATTTAGTAAGGTTCAATTTCTATAGATCTTGAATTTGTTGAAGGTGACCTCACTAATGAATATATTTGCACATGCCTACACCAGTACATTTGTAGAAGTCTACAATAAGTTGTAACTATAACCTCACTAATATATTTATATATCCCCTCAAGTACATATATTTGTAGGTCCTCCAGGTATACTAGCAGGTGACAACCCTTAAGTAATTGAAACATATCTGAACATAAAAGGCTGAAGTGCTTTTGATGCAATTACAATTACAATTTCTTCTAACATATCATCGTGTTGGTTTGTAATCCCATTCTTCTCCTTTCAAGAACCATTAATTATGATGCCCTCATTGGTTGGTACATTTGTAGAAGTCTACAAATATTTGTAGATACAACCTTGCTAATCCATTTATAGATCCCCTAATTTACATATTCATGAAGGTCCTTTAACTTTGCAACAAAATGACAATACTTGACAAATCAAACATACCTGAACATAAAATGCGTCGCTGAGGCATTCGGAGAGTGAACTACTTGTAGACACTAAAGCGTTTTGTTGAACGGCCGTCGTTTTACCCCGGAGGTAACCATCCCGTTCGTATTGTTCCAATGTGCTTTTGATGCTGGTTTTGGCACGCATCAACTGGTCCATATCAGTATCATACAATGTCACATGATAACCTGCACCAGCAAATATCATGGACCAGTTCTGTCCTATGAGGCCACTGAAATAGATCAATGGGTAATATATCCATAACAATATTAAGGGGAGGCAACTGCATGTACAAAAAACTAGAATGAAATTCTTCAGTGTTTTATATATCTGCAATGAGACAGGGTCAATCTTTAAATATTATGTTCCTATCTGTTTTGAGCTATGATTTACTTGTGTGGGAAAAAATATTTTCTATTGTAAATTCTTACAAATTACCAACATGCAGAAGTAGAGATTTAATGAATAATTAGAAATAGCACTCAATTTGTCTGTTGTTGACCTTGAATAACTCATGTTCAATGCCTGCGCAGTTAATTTTGCACATTTAAAAAAAAAAAAATAAGAAAGCTTTCATGTTCATCCAGAAACCATCGTTTAATTGATGGATACCACACTTGGTTAAAACACCTGAGGCAATCAGTAACACTGTCCATGTCATAATCATGAAAAGGAGTACTATTTAGTTGTTTTTTAATGGAGTAGTCTCCCTTGTATACATAGAATTTTTGAAAGGATAAACAATATCAAGATTTTGACATACACTGTACATTGTTCAAAACAATTTAAAACTGTACTCTATTTTTATCGTTTTCTCTTGCTTCAGGATATGTTGAATTCCAGGAATGGCATGTGATGGCTGTATAGTCCAGCCTTGATTTAAACAAATTTGAATGTAAATTTCAATATTTTCAAACATTAATTAACATTTAAAAGAAAGGGTTATGATGAAAATTTAATCTAAATTGTAGATATCCTGCTCTATGACTTTAAACAAATACAATCAGTCTCCCTATATTAAAGATGTTTCCCCCCTAAACTTTTACTTATTCTCATTTAAAACATATTAATTTTAAGGTTATTTTTACCATATCAAAGTGGTCCTTAACCATAAATACTATAAAGAAAATAAACAATAAAATTTCTTGAATAACAATATAAATAAATAAACAAGTTTCGTGGGTGGGTACGGAAGCTGTAAGCAAATATTGAAGATGTTTTGAACATCTGAATAGAACATGAACTTATCACTTCATTTATTTATGCAAAATAACATGACATAATATATTTACAGATTGAAGATATGATCTCAAATAACAAGCTGGTTCAAGTGACACATTAATTTAAATGTCATGTAAATAATATCAGATCGGAAACTTCGACTCAAATAAGTATTGGCATATACTATGATGATATAGGGGATAATATTTATGGAGTGCTACCTAACGGAACCACTGCCATGACCATGTTCGTTTATGTGGAACAAACGGTTTGTCTGTTTTTAAATGTAACATTTCGGGTATGTATTACTCTATGCAGGCCTTGTAAGGCTTTCTTAAGGCTCGCTTGAAAGCAGCATCAGATTTCTATGTCCGACCTTATTTCATAAACGAACGAATATGGTCCAACCGGTTCAACCGTATCGACCGCTATAAACGAAAACGGCCCGGTCACATTCAATCTTTGCGGCAGCATTTGCTAACAAGTGCATTTTACAGACGCTGTCATATTATATTACATTACCTGCCGACGATGGCAACCTTTCCTTGTTTGCTCGACGGTGAACAAGCCATGTTGTTATAAATGAAGGGGCGTACTACAGCAAACCGTTTGGGTCCAGCAATGCACATGTGCTTCAAAACGAACGCACCGATACAAAACCACCAGAGTTGTCGTCCCTTTTATATACATCCATAAATACTTTTAATACACTTATCAAACATGAATTCGATCTTTATCTTGATTGAACGTACATTTAGATTAACGAGTCTTTTTAAATGCCGTACTACAATAACAACTACAATTTTTATAATAAGATAGTTCATTGGACTTTGTCATGGTTTTTCTATATTAAGATGTTGTCTACATAAGCATTGTCTACAGTTATTTTCGCAATGACACTTTTATCAACCCTTCACAACAGTTGTAGTGAAGTTTAAACATTTTGGACGATATTGCTTTGTTTATTCAATTTTACTTTAAACATGACAAGAGGACGAATCCTACTGAAAGTCAAGGACAAAGGTCGACAAGGCGAAGTTATGAATTTTGGTAAGTCAGTGCTACTTCAACTTCAACTTCAATGTTTTACTCGACAAAAACCATGTATGGTCATCACGTCAAGGGTACTTGTGGTACATCATGACATGACATGACAGCGCAAACAAATGTTTATTATATGCGTTTTTCATGGAAAAATAATTCGTTTAGCATTAAATAATAAATTACAAATTAAACATGCATATCTTAATGTTAATAATATATAGAGAATAAAACACGCCTATTCTGTTTATTACATACTTACTAATAAAAACTACTATTTTTCCCAAAAGTGGTGTGATATGGGTTTTGCGGGCTAAAACGGGTTTTGGGGTGTGATACGGCGGGGACTGATACGGGTTTTTGGGTGTGATACGGCGAGTGCTGATATGGGTTACGTTAGAGCAATTGTGTCGTATCGCATATACAAAAAAAACGTATTTATTAGTAAGTATGTAATAACAACGATAGTAGAGCACAAGTTTTGACAATATTCTTTAATCCATATTCTCAAGAATGATTACGCAACTGTGAATAGGAAAATAAAGATGTGAAATAAATTCCTTTTTTTTAAGAGTGAAATGTTTTCAAGATTTTGTTTGTGTTTTACATCCTATTAACAGCTATGGTCATTTAAGGACACGACATTTTTTAGTGGTGGAGAAAAGCCGTAGTCCTCTGAGAAAAAACGCCGACCTAGTACCTGCCCACATAGGCCTCGAACCCGCAACCCAGTGGTGGATGGTGTTTCTAAGACACAAAATAAGGGAATGGCCTATGAATTATTAATGTTTTCCTACCGCATTGCTATTTTATTATATCGAAATAAAACAATCAGCACAACATTGAAAATTATCAGGATTATGCATCATTGTTGTCGTCAGTTTCAATCACTCGGAACTCAAATTGAGATGCTCTTTTCCATTCCAGAAAGATTCCAAATAAGGGAAAGGTGACCGAGAAAACTCGAGCGCGTGAGGTCAACATGATGTTTTATATCCCCGTCATGTGATCAATATAATCCAATCGAACACGTTACGTTACATATATATATCTGAGGTATGATAGTATGAGCTATTGCTGTACTGGAGACAAGGATCATGTTCAATGACCTCTTCTGTGACATATACTATATGGGAGGCAAGTAGAAATTCCGGAGTCTACGAACTCATCTCGACCTTGGAATTTGTTACAGTGCAGCTTATTTGGACCTGATATATAATGTGTTAAGAGTAAAAGTAGACGTTTGGGCGTGTAGATCAATCCTCTGTAAAAGAATGCAAACCCCAATGATAGGGGATACAACAAGGATGGAAAGTTCCTATGTCGGAAAATTGACTCCACCTAACTTTCTCGCATCGATTAAAGTGTCCATGGCACTGGATGATTGACAGGATGCTACATACGGACAAGAGTTTCGTCGGATTCCCTAGCGCTTTCTCCTCTTTATATGTATATATATTTGTTTATAGTTTATTTTAAATTGTCCGACATCACGATATTGTCTGCATATCTGTATATAATACTGCAATTGTATGAACTCTAATGCAGTCATTTCAGTTTAATTTGTGTCGGTTATGAAAACATGATCGTCCCATAACAAGATCCCGATCGACCAGTGTAGGTGTTTGCTTGATGTTCCAGGACTCGAAACGGAAGGCTGGTATTTAGTTTGTTCTGACAATTAAAAATTGTTCTGTCCTTCCTGTCTTCAGTCTCAACGGTTTTAGCATTTTCAGGGCTTAATTGTTATTTCGTGGCAATGAAAGTATAGCAGAAATATTTAATGAAGCAATATTTCTAGAAGACTTCCAGATAGAAGGTTGGTGGTCGGGTGGCGCAGTGAGTAGCGCATTTGCCTTTCAGCAAGACGACCGGGGTTCGATTTTCCTATTAGGCGTGAAATGGTATGGGGTCACCTGCCCGAACTGAATGTTAAATAGTTATAATGTCTCTTGTATTGTCGTGAACATTAAATTGACAAAACATCATGATGCATGGGGAAATTTCCACGTTAACATTTTGAGAGGCTTCAAAATCCAAATTCGATGCATGTGAATGGTAAGACTCTACAAGAATCATGCGGTTACTATTCTTGAATAATCTCTTTATTTGCCCCAGCATGTATAACAGTATTTAATTTTACTGGGTCATAGTGGCGGATCCAGAGACCTATCTGGGGGGGTTCCAACTTTCCTGGGGGGGGGGGTTCCATGGGGGGAAAAATTGAGGAAAATGGGGAGAATACATGATTTTTAAAGAAAATTCTCAGGGTGGGGGGGGGGGGGGTTCCATGTGGGGAAAAATTGAGGAAAATGGTGAGAATACATGATTTTTATAGAAAATTCTCAGGGTGGGGTGGGGGGTCCTGAAGCCCAAAAAAACCCTCTGGAAACCACTGTGGGATATAACTTTATACTAAACTGCAGTCAAATTTGTAGTAAAACTTAAATAGTGGGGACACGTGAAAGTAATATTTGAGATTTGCGACAGACTCGCAATATAATATATGGCAGCATTATAGGCAATACTCACAGGGACCTGAACATTTTTTACAGCTATATTTGGACCTTAACTTAGGTGTTCATGGTAGTTTTACATGTTTTAGGGGTTTAGATCGACTTTCGGTAAAACAGTGGCAATACTATTTTGAACTATTCCAATTTTTAGGTGTTAAGTACGTCATTTCTTATAGAAACATACCTCACCGACCTCAACCAATGAAAACTAATAAAGCCTTGTTTTGTTTAAAAAATATATATACATAGGCCTATCAGTGCCTTTCAATTTTATGTCTGCAATCGAACGCGCCCTTTGTCATTTTGTACACAATAAAATAGAGTTACCTCCCCTGAATATTATTTTGAGTTCCTGTTTAGAAATTAAGAAGTGTAAGGTATCTATCATTATGTCGCAGTATTTGTGGCGATACATGGAAATTATGGACACAGAATAATGACAAGGAACTATGTTATATGTAGGAGATGGTATTAACTACACGATGAAGCTCTCAACAAATTGTTTTCAGACTTATTGGACAAATTTAAATAACATTATAAATTTGTCTACTCCTTGCAACAATTACGTATAAGATTTTATCAATCCTGTCATTGTGGTAAGTTGAAATGGGTTGTGCCCCATATAGAAAGGAATGCTAGTCATTTCGGTAACAAGTCGTTTCGGGACAATGACACAAGATTTTTCGGGACATTTTGAGGAAAAGTTATGAGCCAATCTCATACGATATACACTGACATGAGCCTGTATGAAATACCTTAGTCAAGTCGTTTCGGGACATATATAATTTTCATTTATAAATTACATTTCCCTCCTTTTCATAAAAAGTCCTGTATATACACAAGTTTGGTTTTAGACGATGACCTGCGTCACGACCTACCCGTGCTTGGGCTTATTAACAGGTTACCAGATTGCTAGAGCTTGAGGGGATACCTACCAACATTTACCCGATTGTCAGTGTGTTAAGTGTTACCTGGTGAAACTAATCTCATTATTAAATACAGATCTAGAGGAACTTATGAAATTCAACATTCAATTTCTTTCGGTATTGAAAGGTTGCTTCCTTCTTTGATATTGTAATATGTTTTCAATTCACTATATTCTCCATTATTGACATTAAGAGACGAATTGATTCTAACAATGTAATATTGAAATTAAATTTCACGAAAGTAAAAACGTGAAACATGTAGACTAAATTTTAGACATGTGAATCAATTTATCAAATCCAGGTATATATTTTGAACGATATGTTTTTATGTTGTATATTTATGTCAGTGAGAATATTATATATATATTTATTCATGTTCTTTTAAACTCATGTAATGGTAAATTTATAAATGTATGACGGGAGAAGGCACTGATAAGTTGTAATAACTCTTATCCAATCGATTGTTTAACATTTTTTTTTTTAAATCCCGAAACGACCCGGAAAAAGTCCCGTAACGACTTTCGTCTTGTTACCGAAACGACTTGTTACCAAAATGACCTGACACCTATAGAAAGTAAGTTTGTTGAGTATTCCTATGTTATGCATTGAAGTATAATCATTAATCAAATGGTTGATGATGCTTTAATTCAGTACTTTACTACTTATCAAGAAAACCAAAGGAATCTGATATTTAGTTTGTAACAGGTTGGACTCCACATATCATGCATTTGTTTACAGTAATTAACAGTTGTATTACTTAAATGGCGAATAATTCAGAGATTTCATAGGGTTATTTTCCCAAAGTCAAAATGCAGCAGGCCCCTGTGGAAAGTATATAGGTAGAACATCACCGAGTTATCATAGAAGCAAACCAAGATTGCCATTCTTTCAACTTGATGTAATAAATAATGAGATTAAGCATGAATTACGGATTATTGTTCGCTTTGTCTGTATAAAGTAAGAGAATGAAGACCCTAAAATAATCTCTATTTATATGTATATAGACAGGCTGGGCACAACGGCGCATATGGGTAATAATCCTGCATTTGGGTAACAGATACTCATTTGAGTAACAATTTTATTATGGAAATGGGGAATAAACTGAAATTAAAACACACAAAGTTCTTAAATACTTCGAGCAAAAAAGGGCGTATTTTTTTCAACTAAATCCAATAAATAACTCAATTCAGTGCAAATGTGACTGCAGGTAATAAGCATGATTTTTTTTCCGGTGTGCTACTCGACAACACACTATAAGGCCAAAAAAAATTATAGTCTGTTTAGGGTTACATTGGCAAAAAAACTAGTGTTGGTAGGTCAGATTTTTATTTTTGTATATTTTTGGTCATGTGATTATGACCCTACTATTGTTTGTTTATAATGTGTAAAAGATCTTTGTGTGTTTTTATGTAACCTTAAACAGACTTTATTTTTTTTTGGCCTTATATTGTGTTGTCGAGTAGCTATAAATAGCACACCGGAAAAAAAATCATGCTTACTACCTGCAGTCACATTTGCACTGAATGATCCAATTGTCTACACACTGAAGTCAATGGAGAAAAAAGTCAGTGATATGGTTTTACCTTTTTACAAAAAGTTAGACATCAGAATTGATAAATTTTTGTGCACAAATATACTTCATTGAGTTATTTATTGGATTTAGTTGAAAAAAATACGCCCTTTTTTGCTCGAAGTATTTAAGAATTTTGTGTGTTTTAATTTCACTTTATTCCCCATTTCAGTAATAAAATTGTTACTCAAATGGGTAACTGTTCCCCAAATGCAGGATTATTACCCATATGCCATTAATATTGTGCCCAACCTGATAGAGGCCACATAGATAACAGGCTTTATTTTTTTAAGGTCCTCTCTTTAACTTCAATACTAACGTAAGCATCACATTCCTACTCTTTGAAAAATGAACTGTTCGAAAATTTGTTTGTTCAGAAGTTGAATCCTCACACAATCTGGACGCACAAGTGAAGTCTTGGTTCTGACCATAATTCTACACCTGTTGGTAAACTTCATATCCCAGATGGACTTTTCATGTGACAGTGTAAATTAATTACATTATTCCATTCCAGAACTAGGGAAATACAAGGGTTTTAAAGAAATGTTCAGGTCGGAAGGGCCTTAAGCCCTGAAAACCCCTATATATATTATTATAGATCCGACACTATAAATAGATGTGATTATTAAAGTGGTGTTAGGAGATGGGAGTCTTGTTGCCTGTTATTTCAATTCATAACGATATGCCATCATTTGGTTTTAGACCTGATATAATATGGAGAAGAACATAACAAGGACTCCGTCCTTCCAGGAGGCATCAGATCTACTCAAGGTCCACCTCCAGAAGAAACACCGCCTCAAACGCCATTCTCCCTGCCCTCCTCAGCCACCCACTAAACAGGAGGTCCGCAATGAGGCTGCAATGATTCTAGAACAGTTTCTTTTGAAGGAACTGAAAGAAAACAAGGGCAAACATGGCAAACCACTGATAGGTATGTATATAGCTTTCCTAAGAAGAAAAAGAGCACAAAGAAAACAAAGAAAAATAAGGTGCCTTATAATAGTAGAAAAGAGGGCATTGTATATTCTCATATGTGTGGGTATTTTTTACAAATCCACTATCAAGTCTGTTGTATCCCAAAAAGGTCATTATTCAACAGGTATTTATGAAAGATAGAAATACCTCTGGGTATACATGCAGTGCACATTTCAATTAGAAATTTAAATTATAAAATCAATAATGTTAATTTTCAGTGTTGTCTATATATGCACATATTTATTGAAGAAAAAATATGCAAAAAATTCTATCCTCAATTAATGCAGTTCATACTCTACTGTATGCATGACTTTCTTTGAATGATGAAATATTTAAAAAAAAATCTGAGATTATTTTTGTATGTCTATAACACTTCTCAGATCAATAATGTACATGTATGCATTAAGGATTTTTATCAAACTTAACTCTTCAAAATATTTTTTGTTTGATTTTGTTTGAGAAAAAGTTGAATTGCTGTATATTGTATATTATAGAGTATACATCAATTTAACCTATATATATCATTAAGAGGTTGTTATGTACCTGTAAATATTTTGATATCATAATGCCAGACATTTTGAAGTTATTGACCCCGACCAATTTGCATAATGAAATAATCTGAATCTTGAAAGTAGGGTTTTGTATAGCTAGGAAAATAAAGACAAGTCACCAATAATATTTGAATTGATTGTTGGCACTTTCAGGGAAATCTCATAAAAGTCCTTCATAGAAATTTTTATGTTGATCTCTCTGTATTTGACAAGGTTTTAGAAATTTATCTTCTTTATTTTAGTTTGATCTCTTTTCAAAGACAGTTGGTCTATTATAAAAGATTCCTTTTCCATCTGATTATAAAGTTGTCATTAGTTAAAGAAATGATTTCTCCAGACCACTGTTACCTAATTAGGTTTAATAAATAAAGCATAAATACAATATATATCCCACAATGCATTTGTTTTTTTCAACCTTGACAGGGACAGCATATCAGCAGGTGAAGGATGTGGATGTTACAGAGGAGGAGTACTACCTCCATAACTCCTATCACTCCCACCAGGGGGCACCACTGTCCCCTGACAGCTCCAGCGACAGGCATCACCAATTCGGCACCTCTGGTCATGCAGGTCACACATCGGTAATCCACTCTCGTGGACACTCAGAACTCTCCCATGCTTCATTGACCTCCGGTAAAACATCGTCTGTGATTCATTCCCGTGAAACATCCGAAATTTCTCGTACTTCCATTAACTCTGCTAAAACTTCCATCCACTCATTGTTAGATGAGAATAATGATATACCTTTTGCTGATGATCATGTCACAGTGCCTCGGGCAAAAAGTTTGCCACCCGATCTGTCTCCAGCTCACAGAATTGATAATAACATAATGACAACATCATACTCGTTGAGTCCCTCTAAGCTAGAGAATTTGGACAAAAATAAGGACATTGTGGATTTAAAGAAAAAAGGCAGAGACAGAGCTTCAAGGCCTGTAAATGGAAATTCATCATCGACCGTCATCACTAGGGGGCGCCAGCGGTACAAATCAGGGTCTATATCCTCCTCGGACACTGAGAGTGATGCAATTTCACAAGATAGAAAGAAAAAATCTGTGTTCAAAAGAGCGAAAGAAAGGCTAAATAGTGTGTTGAACAGAAGTAAAGACAGAAAGACAGAAGACAGGGAGGGTGACTTTGTAACAAAGAAGGGGAACCATGGTCAAAACAAAAGGAGCGGGGCTAAGGTTTTGGAAGAAAAGCACACCCACAAACATGGACATGTAGAACAGCATCATTACACGGATGGGGATCGGACAGGGCTGGTTAGGTCGCAGGAGATGTGGGAGTCGACAGACATCACAGACCAGGAACACAACAAGCACAAACACATTGACAAACACTGCAAGATGAAAGAGAGCGCTGATCTGTCCAGTTCAGCAAAGATATCCGAGGGTGGAATCTTCAGCAGTCTCCGCAAACTGACTTCACGACGAGGCAAGAAGTCGAGGAAGAAAGTTCCAGGTATGATTTATGTGCAGGTTTATAGAATAATCTTGCTTGTCTAGATTAAAAAATCATGAGGCAACTATTTTATACTGAAGTCCGAATTTCCAATATTGTTTTAAGTAAATATTTCTCTTAAAAATCAGTCTTAAATTGATATAGTAATTCATATTTTAGTGCATACAATGATATGTACACTAGCATACATTCATTTTTGAGGATGCAAGTTTAAATTCCTTCCTTGTCAGTGAATCTATATTTTCACCATTAATTTATTAACTTTTTCACGTAATAGTCTGAAGTATAACCTCCTTAATATTTCCCCAACATTCACCAAAACTGGTAAACTTACATATCTTGTGAAGGTGGGGCCTTGCAAACTGTTTCTTAGCCTTCATGTATACAGAAATATACAGAATTTTGTTTGATATAATATTTATTCAAAATGTAGGCAAAGGGAGACAATTCCTGTATTGTTTTTTCAAGGGTAAGGTAAAAATAGGAGCCCCTTGTCTCATTCCTTTCACAAGTGACAAAAGTACAAATGTTTTCCAATTTCATAACAGTCAAGAAATATTTTCTCATTCCATTTCAATCGTTTATGCATTTTGTATAGAAATACAGATGCAGAGGTGTTCAAAGTACAACCCTTTGTTTTACAATGATTCTGAATAGGTACAATACCACATGGCATGTGTTAGGCGTAAATTACTTTGCTCTTGTTTTTTATATGAAAACTGTAATTTAGTGTTAAGATTTTGTCTCAATGTATAAGATGCATTAGACTATGCCTGATATTGTATTTCAATAGGATCAAAGTCTGCAGACTTCAGCATGTTAAAGAAGAAAAAGAAGAAGAAAGCATATTCAAGGAATATCTCTGTTCCTGATGGACCTCTGAGAGATTGGGACAACAGTCATTTTGAGTCAACCTCTTTCGAAGTGGATGGGCGACGGACAAAACATACAACACATGTAACCTCAATAGATGATGTGGGACTTAATGCAATCAGCAATCTGGACATTGGTCAAGGGTCCGAACCGATGGACGTAGAAGATGGGGGTCTTCCTACCAACCAGTCGTTTGCTTATGACTATGATATTGATGAGACAGAATTCCGAAGAAGACTGCTTACTGGGGAAATAGACATTGAGCGGAACATCTACCAACATCATACTGATACATTAGTGGATGACCTTGATGTGGATGGAAATACACATCCAGATGATGAAGGTAAATAAGGTAACCAAGGTAACTAGAGAATCCAAGATAACTGTGGTAACCAAGGTGACTTAAGTAACCAAGATAACTATGGTAACCAAGAATACTACACGAGGATTCCATAGTTACCAAGGTGATTAAGGTAAACCAAGATAAATATAGCAACCAAAAAGACTTAACGAGAAATCTATGGTAACCAAGGTAACTATGGTAACCAAGATAATTAAAGTAGTCAAAGTAACTGGGAATCCAAAATGACTTAGAGTAATAAAGACAACTATGGAAACCAAAGTATCTAGAATAACCAAGATAATTTTAGTAACCAAGGTTATGAGAGTGACCAAGATAGCTACGGTAACCAAGGTGACTAAAACAACAAGGATAAATATGGTAACCAATGCTGACTCAAGTAATCATGATAACTATCAAAACAAAAGTTTATAGAGAAACTAAGGTAACTATGGTAATTAAGGTGATTAGAGTAACCAAGGTAACTATGATAACCAAGGTAACTAAAGAAATATAGGTTAGGACAGTAACCATCGTGATTTGAGTGAAAAAGATAACTATTGCAATCCAGGTCAGCAGGGTAAACAAGGTGAATGTGTGTGGTAACCAAGGTTACTATGGTAACAAAGGTTACTGAAGTAATCACAGTAAATAAGGCAAATACAATAACCATGGTGATTTGATTGAGAAAGATAGCTAGTAATCACTGTGTCTACAGTAACCATGGTGACTAGAGTAACCAAGGAAGCTTAATTTAGACAGTAGTCACAGTTTTAATTTTTCAAAACTTTTTGTTTCTGCTAGTAATCACTGTGTCTACAGTAACCATGGTGACTAGAGTAACCAAGGTAGCTTAATTTAGACAGTAGTCACAGTTTTAATTTTTCAAAACTTTTTGTTTCTGGATGAAAAATTGAAAAAGGTTAATTCATGCCACTGAGTTAATTTGGTATTTTGATTTGCAGATGAAAGGCCACAGTCATCTGCAGGAGCTGTGGGGTCTCCGGAGGGAGGGGAGGATCCTACCCAGGAGGATAAGGAGAAATTGTATGGGATTATAGCTGAACGGCTGGCAGAGATGGGGGATAGCTACATGGCAGGGGCTTCTGGTGAAGCCCATGCAGCCTCGCCTCGACGAACCTCAAGTTCAGCTCAAGCCTCTCTTGAAGCATCGTATGATGTCAGAGACGGTACGCTTGATCATAATGAAATTCCTGATAACCGTGTAGAAAATTATTATTACCCACCTGTACCCCAGGATAGTCTACCAAAGTCTCAGCATTGAGCAATCAAGACTATTTCTATCATACCCCAGTAATTAAAGTTCAACTTCTGTAAAATGGAGATCAGAAAAAAAGGGATTTTTGTAGTAATTTTCTCACTCAAGTTTTGCAATAAAACATGATCTCCAAGCTTTTTAAATATTCTGACTCTAGAAATAGCAATTTACAAATGGAGATTGCTTTTTTCAGGTGATGGTCTTAATTCACTGGAAAGAGAACTTAGAGACAGCTTGCGAAACTTTGGAGACAATTTTAGTGTTGAGGTACATATACATGTAAACATACCATGGCTATTTATGTAGGATGTAGGTGATTTAATTACAGATAAATTAATCCACAAAATAAAGTTAAAATTAAATTTTATTCCATCAGTTATATTTAATATTGGTAAATTAGATATCATGGAGATTTTCTATAACACCAAATTTTCTTACAAGAAACATTGCAATCCCTCCTCCAGAGTGTAGAAGTTTAAACATATACATAATATATAGCATCTTATGTTATATGGGTTAATAATAATCATATTTGTTTATATCAGCAACCTGGTTCTAACCCTCAAAGTCCAAATAAAATTGTCTTTCCAAAAGTCAAATAAAACACTTTAAATGATTGTAGCACCCGGTGTCAGCTGAAGTTACGGAGGCAGCGGTGGACATAGTCAGACAGGCGACCTACAACACATTTACAGATACACTTAAACGTGCCATCGGGGATGAGGTAGGCTGGGACCAGCTCGCCACGCTTTTCTACATCACGAAAAAAACAGTCAAGGCTGCGGGGGTCGGAGGGGCTGTGGCCCTCAAGGTCAAGGAGATGAGTCTACGTTACCTGGAGGATAAGTTTGCTGGCTGGATTGTTGACCAGGGTGGATGGGTGAGTGTAGTGACATACATGTACATGTAATTACAATTTTAGGATTGTTATTATTATTTTATTTTGATGATAATGTGAACTTTAGAACCTTGATGATAAGCCACAGCTATTTTTTTCTTTTTTTTTTTAAGTTAGAAAGGGATCCCTTAATCATTATACCCCTTGCAAACAAAGATTTAAGGTGTGGGGGGGGGGGGGGGGGGGGGGGTATATAAAGGAATCACTCTGCATCCGTCCCTCTGTCCAGGAACCTCTTATGCGCAAATCCTCCTAAACCATGTGTGAAAGAGCATCATGTGTAGATGTGCATGTAGAAAGGAATTTACAATTCAACTTTTTTTAATGGAGTTATGGCCTTTGAAACTTTTAATTTCTGCTCCTGAAACCTTGTAAGCACAATTCCTCCTTAGCTGTTTGTTGGAATTTTTGTAACTTTGCACAGTGAACGTACATTTTATGGAGATGATGCAGGAAGGGATTTGTGATTAGGTATAATACCCCCTGCAAATAAAGTTTGAATATCAAGTTTTTAATTAGGCTGGTCTATTTTCAAGGTAGTTTTGATTTGAAGCCATTTAGCCATTTAGTATGGTTTATTTCTAAGGCCAGAATGAGATCGTTTCGTTGCTCAGATTTATGAAAGAACAAAGAGAGAGGAAAATATTGATGAAAACACAAGGGGATATTAATATAAAATATAAATTAGACTAATTGGAATAACATGGTGTTTGACCTTTCACAGAAATCAATTCTTTAAAAAGGGGGAAATATGAGAGGAAGTTCAAAATGATATTTTCCTTATGGGGTAAATGATGTTATAATAGCAACTTGAACGCACCTTTCTGTGAGGATCAAAAGACTTTCGATACTTGTACTACTTTTGACCTAAGTCATTGCTGTTAACTTACATTTCCTTCCTGAATTTTATAGGACACCGTCCTGGAATCGGAGAGTACAGATTCTGAACTGGATTGATCAAAGTCAGAAGAATAAATACCCTTGTCATCTTTGCAGTGAAAAAAAAATACACATGGTGACATGCATGACTAGAATGAGTTATTATGTAACATTGGAGTTATTTTGTGGCCACATTTTATTTATAATAATTCAGGGTCATGAATTTTTATTATGAATGTTTGGATTTGCACCAGAGTTTTCTCCCATTGAGCATATATCAGTCAGGAATTGTTAGAACAGAACAATTATTGGCCACAATTAACTCCTTTAGACTGAGTTTTACCTGAAGTGCCAGATACTGAGAGACTAAATAAACTTTAAGAAGTTTGTTTGATTACAAAATCTAAAAATATATCTCATATTTTCCTCAAGTTTTTAGACAAGAGGAAATGTCTTGCCTTACATTAAAGAGTTTCATCATTACCGGATTAGGGGGTGGACATTTCAAAGTTGTCCCCTGCCTTCTTCCATTAGCCCCCACCCCCACCACTACCCCTTCTCCTCACCTGACTGAGTATTTATAGAAAGAGGAAATACCTTTTCTTAATTGGTGTGATGATTATTTACACATAATTCAAATATGTAGTCAAGTTAATTACGACGGCAATATAATCAGAAACGTGTTAGTACTCACTAATTATGGGTGTATGATCAATTGGTTGTTTTGAGAAAATAGTTCTCCTTTAAGAGACTTGAGTGAATGTTTTAAGTTGTTGTCATCCTCAAATTTCCAGGAGTTTTGCTTTCTCATGTTTTCTGCACCCCTGGAATGTCATGATGAAATCAAAGGCACATGGTTAGCTATTTGATTGGTTTCAGATATCAAAAGCTGACCAATCACTTAGCTTTGGAAAGAAAGTGAGTGACGCCCGACTATAAAGTCAGTCAATTTTACTGTTACACTACTGCGAGATTTCTCTGTTGTTCACCAAATAATCAAACCATTTATATATCCACAAGGTGGTGCATACAGAATCTTTGATTTTGTCATGTTCCAGGGGTGTAAAGAGCGTAAGTATACATAACACCTGGAAATTTGAGGACGAGTTCTTGGCAGCAGGTTTGTCATTTTAATGTGTTCCCTTGTAAAGAATCATTTGTTTAATATGATCCATGATCTCATAATTTTTTACATTTTTTTTTAATTGTACGAGATTTTGAAGAAAGATTACCCAGTATGTTTTTATGCCTGAAAAGATTATATAGTTTTTAATTTTCTGACTTAGTTATTTTGTTTGTGTTTTAAGTTGTATTAAGAACATCATAATATTCCACTACAATGTGATATAGTTGCTACTTAGACAAAATTTTGAAAAAAAAAATGCCTTTGCTTTTGTTGTATCAAACATTTGCCTTTTTATTTTGTTTTATAAAAACAGTGATACAGGAGGCTGAATAACACTATTGGTCATTTTGGTCATTTTCTCCTTGTCCACCACTCTGAACAGGTAGTTGCAATATGCAACTGTAAATCTATATTAAATATTCTGAAATGTTATGAGCCATTTCAGTTACATATCAGTAGCGGATCAAGAGGAGTATCAGGACCCCCCCCCCCCAAGCCTGATTTTTAGCTCCCCTGGTCCAAAGGACCATGGTGAGCTTATGCCATACCACAGCGTCCGTCGTCCGTCCGTCGTCCGTCCGTCCGTCCATCAACTTTTCCTTTAAAACGCTACTTGACTAAATTTGGTCTGGAGCATCCTTAGGCCAAGGGGACTCAATTTTGAATAAATGGTGGGTGTGGCCCCCTTGGGGCGGGGCCCAATAGGGGAAATAGAGGTAAAACCTTTAAAATCCTTTTCCTACCGTAGGAATGAAAGGATTTGTTCCATATTTGGTGTGGAGCATCCTTGGGCCAAGGGGACTCAATTTTGTATAAACTGGGCCCGGGGCCTGATAGGGGAAATATAGCATATTATTTAAAATCCTTCTTCTTCTGTAGGAATGAAAGGATTTGTTCCATATTTGGTCTAAAGCATCCTTTGGTGAAGGGCAAACAAGTTTGTATAAACGGTGGGTCTGGCCAGCCTGGGGCCTGAGGGGCGGGGCCCAATAGGGGAAGCATAGCAAATTATTCCTGAAAATCCTTCTTCCTTTGTAGGAATGAAAGGATTTGGTCCATATTTGGTGTGGAGCATCTTTCGGTAAAGGGGAACCAATTTTGTATAAACAGTAGGTGTGGCCCCCCTGGGACCTGAGGGGTGGGGCCCGATAGGGAAAATATAGCATATTATTTAAAATCCTTCTTGTTCTGTAGGAATTAATGGATTTGGTCCATATTTGGTCTAAAGCATCCTTGGGTGAAGGAGAACCAACTTTGTTTTAACCGTGGGTCTGGCCCCCAGGGGGCCTGAGGGGCGGGGCACAATAGGGGAAGCATAGCAAATTATTCTTTAAAATCCTTCTTCCTTTGTAGGAATGAAAGGATTTGGTCCATATTTGGTGTGGAGCATATTTGGGTAAAGGGGAACCAATTTTATATAAACAGTGGGTGTGGCCCCCTTGGGGCCTGAGGGTCGGGGCCCAATAGGGGAAATAGAGGTAAAACCTTTAAAATCCTTCTCCTTCTGTAGGAATGTTCCATATTTGGTGGGGAGCAGCCTTGGGCCAAGGGGACTCAATTTTGTATAAGTAGTGGGTGTGGTCTCCTAGGGGGCAGAAGGACAGGGCCCAATAGGAGAAATAGAGGTAAAACCTTTAAAAACCTTCTTCTACCAAAGGGATTAAGGGATTTTATCCTAGTTTAGTCTTGAGCATCCCTGTGCCAAGGGAACTCAATTTTGTGTAAGCAGTGGGTGTGGCCTCCTCGGGGGCAGAAGGACAGGGCCCAATAGGAGAAATAGAAGTAAAATCTTTAAAAATCCTTCTTCTACCATCGGGATTAAGGGATTGTATCCTTATTTAGTCTGGAGTATACTTGGGCCAAGGGTTCTCAATTTTATATAATTGGTGGGTATGACCCCCCTAGGGGCATAGGGGTGGGGCTCTGTTTGAAGTTTGTATATCTGAAATTTTATATGTACTTTCAGCACCTACCATGGAGTGCTATATATTTACTTCATACCAATTATTTTAAACATATTCAGGTGAGCGATACAGGCCCTCTGGGCCTCTTGTTTTTTTATATCATGTATTTTCACACTTTTTCACAATTTTTCCCCACATGGACTCCCCTTTTATAACCCTGTTCTTGGACAATATTTTTTGTTGAAGAAATAGTTCCACACAGACCTCCAGGGTTTGATCCCCAAAGTCTTCGTAGACATGGAAAATTCAGAAATGTTAGGCAGTGACGAGGTAGTTGCCACAGGCCGGTACTTCTCTCCTGGTTATCCTCCATAACTGTTAATTGGACTTAAAACACAAACAAACCAAACCATAATTATACATGTACAGATTTTCAATGATATATATATATATATATACACACAGCAAACAAGGTGTATGTATATAAATATATACACTGTAAGAATTACTTCCTTGCCCCATATATTTAGATACATATATATCAACAGTGTATTTTTTTTATATATTAATATGTTACATCTGATATGACCAGCTCTTAATAAAACAAGAAGACGCTGTCATCGATATCCCCCTGTTTATAGTGTACAATGCAAGTCATCATAAAAACAATTAATTGTTGGTAATGATCACCAAGTCACTGAAGCGTGAAATGAAGGTCAAATTCAGCATCTGCAACATGCAACCAGTAGAGGCACCCCAGATGCATGAATCAGGAAAGTATCAAAAGGGGTAGCAGTTGTAGTAAGGCACACATGCACACACGGACATACTACATCTGTATATCCCCCACAAACTTCGTAAAGCGAGTAATAATGAAACACAATATGAAAACATCCAATCAAATCTGGTACAAACTAAGAAATGACCCGCCGACAACCCTGACTACTATATGTCATCCTCTAAATGAAAATAAACTCTTCAACAATCCTTGCTTCAGGGTTTATATATGTATGTATACATTTATGACTGTTTTCCTTCTCTGTGATGTCTCCACATTCCTGGCCTAATGATGCCGTTTTTAATGCAGTGAGTTACCGGTGATACGTATAAAGAAAAAGAGGATTTAGAATCTAGACAATATTAGACATTGTTGCAACATTAAGACTCTGTAATCACTGTCAATCAAGAATTCTGTCTTTTTCAAAGTTTGGACAACTCATTACTGTATTTTACTACAATAAGCCCATGCTCAGAAATAAGCCCACCTCCATTCTTTGACATTTCCATCAATTAGATATAAGTCTAAATATAAGTATTTTGTCTTGTTATAAGCCCATCCCAACTAATGATATTGCCTCATAATAAGCTAAACCCCTTTCTCTATTTATGAAGGAGTGTTAATGGGTTTAACCCTTTCGCCACTGTAGACGATAATGGACTCATCTAGATCAATGCATGGTAGAGTCTACTAAATTACATAGGGGTGAAAGGGTTAAATGTCGACTGGAGAAAATATGCCAGACACAGCGTCTTTGTAATTGTCATTTGGATCAGTGAAACATAATGTAACTGATCGGAAATCATTTAATTTTCCACATTTTAAAATAATATTTTTTGAGCCAAAAATTAGCATGTGTTGATATTGGTTCTGTTGTTGTGTATGCTATTTATGCTGTAGGTTGTTCTACTTGATACAGGGCTAGGTTTCCATGTTCCGTTTGTTAAAGACTTAAGTTTTTCCTTTCACATTGTTAAATATCGTTATTGAAACTCTATAACTCAGATGAGTGATTTCACCTCTCAGTGAAAATGGAAGTTATAATAGTGTAATTTATTTAAAACAAACCCTGTATAAACTAGACCCTAAACTAACTCTTCTTGATAAGTTGTACAGTAAAACAACTTACGAACACATATAGTAAATTATTACATACAGTGAAACTTCTCTAATCTGACACCCTTTGGGACACATCACATTTGTCAGAATAACCTGTTATGACACCCTGTTACACACGACATACTGGTCAGATTAGACATTGATATCTGAGTATACAGGCCCAGTTGTTGTTTTTTTCATAAGGAATCAGATTACATTATTATGTTGGATTATACAGGATGTCAGAATACACAGGAGTCAGATTAGTCAGGCTCACTTTATAATAAAGCTGCATATATATGCCTTGACAATGCATATCCTACACTTGAAACTCTAACATACTTCTGCTTACCAGATTAATAAATGTGTCTAACAGGTTTGTTACAACCTTGTTTTGCGGTAGATATAATTAGAACCTGCATAATCAGCAAGCCTGTCTATTTTGAACAGACGTATTGGTCCCTATGGTGATAAGTTTAAATAGGTTTTGATACTGCGTAGAAACCTCTGATTAATGAACGTGTGATAAACCATTAACAGAATGTACTGGGGGACCTGAAGGTATACAATGAAACTGCTAATTCAGTGAATTGTGCTGTGTAAAGGCTGACTTACTTATGCACAAAGTCAAGGACGTTTACAAAAAAGGGACATTTTAGAAGGTTGATTGATTGATAGGTTTTACGTCCGCTTCACTACCGAGTAGTTCGGTTATCCAGCAGACTTATAGAAGGGAAGTCTGTCCCCTTAACTACTGGCTACACAGTGGCGCAACAGAGCGATTAGTGTTATCTGCATCGATGTACATGTAGCATATGTAGTTGATATTGTTGTTCAGGCGGCAGATTTGTTGTTTTTTGTTAAAAATGTAATGATCAAATTTTTCGTCAGACCTTTTTTTAACTGCTCAATTAAGTGCTTAGTTTCTCAGACCAAGAATATATAGGTCCCAGAGTTTATGCATTATTCATTATCTGTATGTCCTCATGCAATTCTACATTTTGTCTAGAATTGAATATTTATATGGATATAAAATAGGTAAATGTTGTGAAGAAAATAAGCTGTTGAATTGTTGCATATGTGTACAATAGCATTGGCTGTGAAAGATAAACAACATGTTTGATATAGCTTCAGTTTTGTTGTTTTGTTTCTAGCTCACTTGGTTCGACACTTACGCTCTCAGCACCCCTCAAATATGTCATTGCAAAATTGAAGGCACACATTTCACTATTTGATTAGTCTCAGATAAAAAAAACTGACCCATTGCTAGGGTGGCACTGTTCTTTGAATATTACAGAGGAGCAACCTCAAAGCTGGTCAGTTTGACCGCTACATGGCCACAGGATTATTTTGATGTACATCAAAGGATCAAACTAGTCTTCTTGCCTCATCCACAAGGTGTTTGTACAAATGGTGGGGATAACCCCCCAGGGGGCTGAGGGGCGGGGCAAAAAGGAGTCTATTTTGCTATACTGCTTTAAGCAACTTCTCTGGAACTAAGAGATGGATATCAACCATATTTGATTGGAAGCATCCCTAGGTGGTGGAAATTCAAAATTGTACAAATGGTTGGGCTGACCCCTCAGGGGGCTGAGGGGTGGGGCCAAAAGGTGGCAATTTGGCTATATTGCTACAAACGACTTCTTCTGTAGAACTGTGCACTGGATATCAATCATATTTGATCAAAAGCATTCTTGGGAGGCAGGGATTCAAAATTGTACAAATGGTGGGGCTGAGGGGTGGGGGCCAAAAAGAGTTATTTGGCTTTATTGCTTTAAGCGACTTCTTCTCTGGAAATAAGAGATGGATATCAACCATATTTGACTGGAATCATCCCTAGGTAGTGGGGATTCAAAATTGTACAAATGGTGGGGCTGACCCCCAGGCGACTGAGGGCGGGGCCAAAAGGGGGCAATTTGGCTATGTAGAACTATGCCATGGATATTGATCATATTTGGTCGGAAGCATTCATGGGAGGCAGGGATTCAAAATTGTACAAATGGTGGGGGTGACCCCCCAGGCTAAGGGATGGGGCCAAAAAAAGTGTATTACTTGGAAATGATTGTGATCCCCACCATATAATCATGGTATACAATTGCTGAGAATAAAGAGAGAATGCACATTTGCTTCCAGGATGGCCCTAGGGTCTGGCCCCACCCTTGGAGACAAAGTCCCTGGGCCATAACTTTACAACTGTTGAGATCCCCACCCCAAAACTATATATACAAATGCTGGGCATAAAAAGACGAATGCAGTCATGATATCAAAATAGACCCTGGGGTCTTACCGAACCCCTAGGGACCTAGTTTCTTAGTCAAAGCATGGAAACAGTTGAGAGGCCCACCCTATAACCGTATATACAATTGCTGAGTATAAAGAGATGATTGCACATATGCTTCCAGGAGCCTTGGGGACTGCCCCACCCTTGGAGACTTAACCTGGGTCATAACTTCGAAATGGTTAAGATCCCAACTCCAAAACTATATAATATTATACAATTTTTGGGCATAATGAGACGAATGCAGTCACGATATTAGAATTGATCCTGGGGTCTGGCCACAACCCTAGGGACCTAGTTTCTGAGTCAAAGCTTGGAAACAGTTGAGATCCCAACCCCATAACCATACATAACATTGCTGGGCATGAACAATCTAATACAGATATGCTACAAGGATTGTCCTTGGGGTCTGACATATTCCCTTGATCTCATTTGGAGAATATTTTGCCATGATTGCTTAGGTATCCAGGTAAGCGATACAGGCCCCCTGGGCCTCTTGTTTATGGTTTACAGTGGTGAGAGGCCTAAATGCATGAAATATAAGAGTTCAGAGTAAGTCATGGAAAACTGTGAATATTTTTGGCATGTGTTGTATATCGCTTGAGAGCATAAGTGAGCATTACCCCTGGAGTGTCCAGGATACTGATCTGAAGGACTAGGGAGCTTATGCCATAGCACAGCGTCCAACTGTCGATGTTTTCTTTAAAAGGCTACTAGTCCTGAACAGCTTGGTGGATTTTGAATAAATTAAGTCTGGAGCATTTTTGGCATCAAAGTTCACCGATTTCGGATGCTTTTTCCAACAGCATTCAATAACATATGTTCAATACAGACAAACTTGGCCTCTTGTTACAGTTTATTTAACACACAAATAACATAATGAAAAGTGATATGAACATAGCTTTATTTTCAAATACTGTAGTTTTCATCGTTACCAAGGCCAGATCATCTCATTGTTTGGTGCTTCACATTCTCTCTGGCACTCCTCAAGTGATGTGAAGTGGTTTCCGGATTGTGAAGGACCTCCAAACCGGATATATCTACACACTTTTGCTTCAGAGTCGAAGTACCAGGATGGATTGTTGGACATGTAGTTCCCCACGTCTCTTAGTTCCAGACATCCTGTGAAATATGCATCAGGGTTAACGTTATTTTCTGTGAAGTTTAATTGAGGTAATTTTGCTGAGCTATTACATGCATGTGCTTCCAAACTAAGTATCTAGTGATGTATGTGTTGCTTTACTTTTAGAATCCAGTGTGTACCACAGGGACCTGATAATTTGTGCAGTTAATACAGTATGTTACACAGGGACCTGAGAATTTGTACAGTCACTGCAGTTGTGCTAGGATACTTTAGGGGTTTAGATCAACTTTTATTGGGGTTGCATTTTTACAGAGGTTTGAAGTAAACATCTAATATTACTCTGAACATATCAGCTTTAAGTTCAAAACAAAGCGGCTGTAACAAATACTTGGGTTCCTGTGATAAAATACAGCAGTTTATCACACACGATTTTAATCATCACTACAATACAATATAGTATAGTTTATCAATAAATACTGATGTGGATATAGAGGCAGCAATGCCTGCGTCCACTATTATACTATTAAATCCTATTACATATATATAAACTTTATTTTATAACAATTATGAAGTAAGTTTTTCCAACTTGTATTAATAACATTTTTGTTGACCCACATGGAAGGCCACAGTGGGTGTTTTAGTTTATATGGGAGAATGGACCTCCCAGAGAAAAATCATAGGGTCATTATAAACATAGATAACATAGCTTATTCCAAACACATGGAGGTGTAAGTAATATCTGATATTAACTCAGACTTACTATTTTTAGAAACAGCAGGTTAATATTCCTCTTTATAACGTAACTTCAATTATTATGTAACAATGCCCTCTGCCAATTGCAGTACTTTTCTCTTGATCATTTCATGACATCACATCTTTTTTCAATATGAATTACCTGGTAAACGTGAAAATTGTATTGACCTCCATTTTGTCTCGGTTAATGTATCGTTTTTAGGTCTATATAACCACATAACGTCACATGATGTTTTTAAAAGGACCAGAAACATTTTATTGACCTCAACATTGTCTCGGTCAATAAATCCTTTTTAGGTCTATATATACATATCAACCTTAACAAAAGTCCATAATTGATAAATATACTTACTTGGATTAAGTGCTATTGTATAGCACGTTAATGACAGAATAACAAAAGCTATAACTAGGACCATTGTGTTGATTGGCTCACCTAAAATTAACAATAGATAGTTATACAGATATGGGTATCAAACAAGAAGCCTATGGGCCATAACAGTCACCTGAGGTTGTAATACAATTGTTATTAGTATTTTTATTCTTGCATATCTTGCATAATTTTCATGCATTTAAACTGGAATCACATGATGATAATAATAATAACTAAGTTTTAATTCTTCAGGTGCTTTATTAGAATTGTGAATTGTAAACAAAATATACTCAAAAATATTATTTCCGAATATAAAGTAAACATTATCCCCTCTCACAGGGACTGAATGACAAACACATCTGTACATGGAAGATAAATTGAGTTTTTTTGTATAAATGCTAGCTGCTGGGCACCACCACAGCAGTTACTTCATATAAGTAAATTCTGTTAGTACAGTGTATAAGTAAAATAACAAAAGAAGCAATGAAGGAAGAACACAAAACAAACTAAAATTAACTTTAGAATTCACAATAACTCACCATCATCTTGTGGAACGAAATCATAGCTATATATGAGGTAGATCTACTCACTTGCCGGTTTGTACGTATTTTCCGACACCTGACAATGTGTTTGTAGAGCTGCTGCTGCTGTCACGGTCGCTGCTACCTGTATTGGCAGGTAAAGTATATATAATGACTGTGTCACCTGTCCTTTTAAACTTTCGGTGGATACAAGGTGTTACCTGTATCGTTAATCAATGCTATACCTGTACACCACGTGTCAGAAATTACCGTAATGTAAAATGTCACATCCTTGACATCCCTATCTACCTGAAATTAAGTTTACCATCATTTAACCGTATTGTACATGTAATTGTTTTTGGACCCTAAGGGGAAATAATGAAAAATAAATATCACATTTGTGTAGTAATAAATAACCCTTGTTATTATTAGAAAAAAGTATTTGTAAAAAATCTGTTAAAATGTTTGGGATGTGTTTTATTTTGTTAAAAAATATTTGAGCTTATGTTGAAAATGTATTTTATATTTAATATTGTACCAAAGTAAATAAGTGGCAAATTTGATAACAGTCCTATCAGGTGTACATGAATAAATGTAATAACAAGTATTTAACCATACTGTGAAAAATAATCTTATAATGAATAATTAGATTCCTATACAAAATATTTGTTATTTTCTTAGTCACTGACCCAGGCTTCATTACCATTCTTTAACTTGGGAAATTTCTGTTTTCCAATCAGTCCAAAGTCCAATATGCACAACTAGGGTTTGGTTTGTTTGTGTTTTACGTCTTTTTAACAGCTATGGTAATTTAAGGACGCGCCAGATTTTGGTGGTGGAGGAAAGTCGGAACACCTGGAGAAAAACCACGACCTGCAGCCAATGCCTGGAGACTGCCCCACATAGGCCTTGAACCCATGACCCAGAGGTGGAGGGCTAGTGGTAGCAGAATGTCAGATGCCCTTAACCACACGACCACAACTAGGGACAATGGGAAACCTAATTAATGCAAGATTTGAAAAGCATGATTCTTGACAGATATCACTGCAAATGTAATTTTAGTACTTTTATAGTGAAATCATTTGCATCATTTGAGTGAATCCACTGGAAGCAAGCTATTTTATAACCGCTGTGTAAATGCACTGCAGTTGCAAAATGCATACCAGTTCTTTTTGAGAAATAGCGCTAACAACCTAACACAAAAATTCAAGACGACTGCCTGTCTATATCAGCTTGGTTTTCTGGTATGTCCCCAAAATTTAAAATATGCACAACTAGGGACCATAAATAACCAACATGAAATTTGAGAACCATTCCTCTGGTATTTATTGAGAGATAGCGCTAACAAGAATTGTTTACTGTTGGACAACACATGATGGGCTAGGTAGGGAGCATGGAAAAAGGGTGATTTGGTCAATCAACCATCTGCTGATTATTGGCCAAAGTATACAATTAGCTTGAAACTGATTTTAATCAAGATATTACAAGAAATTGTAATGTTAGTATTATGACAGATGAATCATATAAAATAAAATTATTGTTATATTTTGTTGCTTTTGTGGTATTAAATCAGTTACTAGCAAGGGTGATTAAAACACGTGAATATCATCACCAATGTGTAATAACGTGTTACTTATCCAGTTTAAATCAGATCATTATTGCCCTTTTAACAGCATTACGGCCCTTTGAACTTGAAAGTTATTTTTTGTCTGCAGGTATCCTAATGTTTCTGAACTATAATGTTTACATGCTATTTCAAATATTGCTAGGAAATGTAATAGGAAAAAAGATATATATTTTCATTAAGTGTAACCAGTATTCACATTGCCATTCACGATCATAAACACAGACAAGGCCTTAAGGAATCTGGTTATTTGTCCATGTATGCTCAAATAAACCTAACAAAAAGTTCAAGTTAATGTCACAATTCCAGACTATTACATGTACATCCCAGACTATCTTAGAGATTTAAATTACCTTATGTAAAGTAGATCAATGACATGTAAGCTATGCAACTTGAGTTATAGCAACTCTATACGTATCACTCCCAATAAAACAACTTTACTTTGCAGCACAACCTGGAAGGACACTTTTTCCTTCATTTCCAATTTCCCGTGTACTTGTATATGTCCTAATATTTCACATTTCCCCTGTATGTGTGCTACCTTTTCACATTTCTCCTGTATGCCGATTTATTTCCATGGTAACTACATTATGATCTGTAACAACCCTGAAACTCGAACTTGTCCGAGATAGTATGGTCCTTTGTATTTGTGTAAAGTTTGATCAAAATCCCTCAAGGAATGAAGCCGCTAGAGCCCTAACAAGGATTCTTTAAAATAGTAACAGTGACCTTGACCCAACAACCCTGAAACACAAACTTGTCCCAAGATATTATGGTCCTTTCTAATTGTATGAAGTTTGATCAAAATCCCTCAAGAAATGAAGCCACTAGAACGCTGACAATGATTTTCTAAAAATAGTAACGGTGACCTTGACCCGATAACCCTGAAACTCAAATTTATCTTTGATATTATGGTCCTTTGTAATTGTGTGAAGTTAAATCAAAATTCCTGAGGAATGAAGCCGCTAGAGCGCTGAAAAGGATTTTCTTAAAATAGTAACGGTGACCTTGACCTTGACCCAAAAACCCAGAAACTCGAACATGTCCGAGATATCATGGTCCTTTGTAATTGTGAGAAGTTTGATCCAAATCCTTCAAGGAATGAAGCCACTAGATTGCCGACAAGGATTTTCAAAAAATATTAACGGTGACCTTGACCCGACAACCTTGAAATTTCAACTTGTCCTGAGATATTTTAGTCCTTTGTAATTGTATGAAGTTTGATCAAAATTCCTCAAGGAATGAAGCCGCTAGAGAGCTAACAAGGATTTTCAAAAAGTAGTAACGGTGACCTTGACCTTGACCCAACAACTCTGAAACTCAAACTTGTCTGAGATATCATGGTTCTTTGTAAATGTGTTAAGTTTGATCCAAATCCCTCAAGGAATGAGCGCTGACAAGGATTTTCTAAAAATAGTAATGGTGACCTTGACCTTGACCTAACCCTGAAATTTCAACTTTTGGTGTTATGTACGTATGTACGTACACAGACGGACGGAGAGGAAAACTATATATAGTCCCCCCTACCCCCACCCCCACTCGTGTACACAGACGGACGGAGAGGAGAACTATATATAGTCCCCCCCGGTTTCACCGGTAGGGGACTAATAACATATCAAATTGTTACTGAAATCTGTCCCTATCATTGCGGCAGGAAATAAAATAGAGATAATAAATGAACTGCTTTGAGTTGAAAATATTTATTTCCAAAAACAAGTAAAAATGTAGAATAAATAGGATAAATTTCAATCATAATGGCAACTTTTCATTAATACGATCGCCTAAATACTACAAACCTAGTAGTATAATTTTACTAAACATCACAAGTGTCACAGCCAAACTTAACAGTGTGCAGAATTCATACGTACAGAGCAACTTCAGTGATAGCATACAGAAAGGAACTACCACACCAAAATACAATTTACATACATTCCATATTGTTTAATGATTAAATCATTATTTAGCATCTAATATAAAAATCAAAGACTTTCAACATGGTGGATATGTGATAATAGATGAGGATGTGATATTGACCAAGACGATCAATTTCTCTGGTCTATATAACCACATATTCACCTCAACAATAATTGGTAAATATTAATGGCATACTACGACCATATACAGTATAACTACTGAATTAATTCTAACGTATAAACTCCGGGATAATCTATAACCATCTCAATGGGAGATGAGAACTAATGGTATGCTCTAGTTTCAATTTGTTGTAAAAATTGGCTGCCTATGATACATTAATTGCTCTACAGGACACATAAAATATATTTTCATTCAAAGCAAAAATCTGAAATTTCTTTGAAGTGATTCAATCTTTTTTTGGCAAAAACTTGTGAGGTGTTTTGGTAGTCTAATGCAGTATTTATAAAATGTGAGATTTTTTTTATATATATATATTAGATTTATTGCCTAAATTTTCTTGCATGGGTACAACAAATAAATACTGCATGTGAATCTTAAAACAGTGTAGTTACCCTTATTTCGTTGATCTTACTTGGCTATAATATACATGTACTACATGTGGCATATACATTTTATATCAAGAACGAGCATTTGTTAAAAAACAATCTCAAACAAATTGTTCCGGAATATATAAAAGAATTAATGAGAAAAAACTATTCGAATCATTTTAGGGCTATTACATACATGCATATAATGCATCATTCAAATCACAAAATAAATTAGGATTACTATTTTCCCTGAACTCAGTCACCCCTGAGGACATGTTTGAACTCTTCCAGTTCAATGGTTGAAATAGTTCTTTTTGAAATTTCAGGGGTGAATGAGTTAACCAGAGCGGTCATTATAAATATTCAATGCTATAAGGATATCCCTATACCACTGCCAAAAACTTAAGTTTGCATTGGAAATGCCTCTGATCAGTATAGTGTTGCTCTCACAAATTGAGCTTATTTATCCCGAGTGAAATTAAGGGGAGATAACTGTATGTAAAAAGTCTCCAAGTTGTTAAGCAGTTGTTAAGCAGATGTTTCTTTAACCAAACAGCATATTTTTTTTAGTTTTATATTACGAAATTCATTATTTATGATTATGATTAGTTGTTTTAAGAGAAAACAGTTTCAGATGATAAATATGACATGAACTCTAAATATAAAGGGGAAATTTCACAATAATACAATTATTTACAATATGAAAATACTACATGCATTAAAATGATTTTTAACTTTCTTTTTGCCGTTAACTACAACAGCAAATCATAGCTTGCACTGTAATTAGAGATTTTGCATACTTGCTATGGGTGATTTAACTTGTTTAAAACAAAGACACATGTGATAAACGGATTAACCCTTTCAACCCTATCTAACTTTATAAGTAGACTCTACCAGGCATTGATCTGGACGAGTCCATTATGCAGTCATTTAAAGATGGAGTATTTATTCATGAAAGGTGAATATGGTAAGTTATAATGAGATGTACTATCATACAGTGTACCTTGTCTATACCTGACACTCCGGGGACCAAAGTGTTTGGTAGGTTTGTAGAGAGTACCAGGTTTTTGTCTATACCGGACAGCCCAGGGACCAAATCATTTGGTGGGTTTGTAGAGAGTACCAGATTGTCAATACTGGACAGCCCAGGGACCAAATAATTTGGTGGGTTTGTAGAGAGTACCAGATTTTTGTCTATACCTGACACTCCGGGGACCAAAATGTTTCATTGGTTTGTAGAGAGTACCAGATTGTTAATACCGGACAGCCCAGGGACAAAATCATTTGGTGGGTTTGTAGAGAGTACCAGATTGTCAATACTGGACAGCCCAGCTGGGACCAAATCATTTGGTGGGTTTGTAGAGAGTACCAGATTGCAGAGAGTTTATTCAGTTACACATTGTCACAAATTCTTGGGTTGTTTTAGACAAAAATCCATATCTAAACAGTGTTCGGTTTAGAATAAATGAACATTTTGTACATGCATAATGTAGTTGTTTTACAAATCACAAAGGACATTTTTGATATGTTTCTTTAAGTTTTTTAACATTCAATCACAAAACAAGGTTACCAGGTAAGATATTTCTACCAATACACTTTGAATGTAACTTGCAAGGTGTTATCCAAGGTCTTATGACCTTTATTGCTTTTGACCACATGTGACTATGGTCAGGATAGAGACTTGGCACCTGGTTGCTGGGATACCTCTCCTTTGGCTATCCAAGATTCTAAGATTTGCTCCTGAGGTCAATTGTATGAAGCCTAATGTCAATGGAGCTTGATAACCCCTGGGGAGTTGGGTGTCCCATGTTATCATTTATTCTACCATGTCCTCAACCTAACAACTCTTTTCAATGGTTAGTAACCATGCATCATTGGACAAAATAAAACATACACATATGTTATTTTCAACAATTACAAATTATGCTCTTCCAAAAACCTCCCCCATATAACAAAAACAAACAAGTGAGCAGAGACTTGTTTGTGACGAATTGGTGTTATAAAGTGAGGATACATAAGGTGTGCATGTACAGATCTTAACATTTTCACATATGTACATACAAGTTAAAATAGCTAATATGACCACCAACTCCTGATCAATTTCCAGAGATTATAACATCAGCTGTGATATTGGCTTGTTGGTGAAATTAAATGAGGCATCATGTGGTAAATGATTGCATGGACAAATGAACAGCCTTGTTTAAATAAAGGAATTATCTAGGTCACATTGTCTTATAGGCACTGAAGTAGACACACATAGTCATTTACATTTCCACATGTTAGAACAGATATAATCAATATATGTTTGTATATTATGGTGGAATATATAACTCTAGATTCCAAAAATGTAAGAAAAATAATTAACAATAGCCTAGCCAGCATTTGTTATCTATTTTTCCCCAACAATTTCTCACCTTCATTATATATTTCACCTTAATACAGATACAAATGGTGAAAATTTCTTACCTTAATAAATATATGGTTGTAGCAGGAATGAAGATTAAACTCATAAGAACCCCATATCTATTCAAAATAGCAAGTACTATTTTCACACATTACAGCAAAAATCTCTCCAGGGGACCGTGACATGACATGATCATTTCTGAAACTTTTACTTGAAATCTGGTCATGTTGCTGAATATCTTGAATTTAAACATGTAATAAATATTATATCATTTAAATTTTTGTCAACATGCAAACAGTGGCAGACATGTACCATGAATTAAGTACAGTTGGTTGACGTCACTCAAAAGGTTCACACAATTGCTCTAAAATCAATCACACAATCACAACCATCATTTTACAGGAGTAAGTAGTCAAAAATGGACAAGGCAGCTTGAGTTCTTATACAAAAAATATAAACTTGGTTTATTTTACAACAATTATGAAACAAGTTATGTTAACTTATATTAACCATTCTTGTTGGCCCAGATATTAGCGCGCGAGGGGCCTTGTGTGGGAGGAAACCGGAGTACTCGGAGAAAACCCACGTGGTCGGGCTTGAGTTCTTTAAGTTGTTACTATGCATGGTTACTGTTACCCAAAGGTCAAGTTCTGACCTTTGACCCGAGAAGTAATGTCTCCATGGTTACCATTATTACAATCCTCATCTTGACCTCTGACCCATGGGTGATTGAATAATGCTAGTTACTGTTAACAAAGGTCAAATTCTGACCTTGGACCCAGAAATAAAGTCTCAATGGTTACTATTACTACAATCCTCATCTTGACCTCTGACCCATGGGTGATTAAACCATGCTAGTTACTGTTGCCCAAGGCCAAGTCCAGACCTTGGACCCAGAAGTAATGTTGTCATGGTTACCATCGCTTCAATGCACATCTTGACTTCTGACCCATGGGTGATTGAAGCATGCTAGTTACTGTTGCCTGTTCCTCCAATAAGGCCGGAGGCTGTGTTAAACAGGTTTATTGGACTACTTCCGTCTGTGATCAGGACACTGGACAATCCTAGACCTTGTAACATTTTCACCTAGAAGAAAGATAAAAAACCTCTGCAAATTTTCCACCAAAGAACAAAGTGCAAATTCAAATAGTGGTGTGAATTTAATGTTTTGCTACTTCCAGTGCCTTGAAACTGGCAGTCTATATTGTATACTACAGTATAACTCAAGGAAGGCAAATCTGTTCTTTCAATTTTTAAATGACAATTTTTAAAAGATATCTGATGTTGCATTGTGCATATGTTTACAATTAGCAAATCTCAGGTCTTCTTTAAAAAATAGTTCACATGATAAAAATCTAAATTGTGTTCAAATTTTGTTTTGCTGTTTTTGTAACCTGTAAGCTCTACCTCATGAAACACATAATGATATTCTAATCCATCTACCCGTGTCTTGGGGCCAACTTATCTACCTACCTGTGTCTTGGGACCATCTAATCCACCTACCTGTGTCTTGGGGCCAACTTATCCACCTACCTGTGTCTTGGGACCATCTAATCCACCTACCTGTGTCTTGGGACCATCTAATCCACCTACCTGTGTCTTGGGACTATCTAATATATCTACCTGTGTCTTGGGACCATCTAATCCACCTACCTGTGTCTTGGGACCATCTCATCCACCTACCTGTGTCTTGGGACCACCTAATATATCTACCTGTGTCTTGGGACCATCTAATCCACCTACCTGTGTCTTGGGGCCAACTTATCCACCTACCTGTGTCTTGGGACCATCTAATCCACCTACCTGTGTCCTGGGACCTTCTCATCCACCTACCTACATGTCTCACGACCATCTAATCCAGTTACCTATGTCTCAGGACCAACAAATCCACCTACCTGTATCTCAGGACCAACTAATTTACCTACCTGTGTCTCAGGACTATCTAATCCATCTACCTGTGTCTCAGGACTATCTAATCCATCTACCCGTGTCTCAGGACCAACAAATCCACCTACCTGTATCTCAGGACCAACTAATTTACCTACTTATGTCTCAGGACCATCTTATCCATCAACATGTGCCTCAGGACCATCTAATCCATCTAACTGTGTCTTAAGACCATCTGATCCACATACCATCGTGTCAGGACCACCTAATTCACCTTAACTGTACCTGTGTCTCAGGACCATCTTATCCACCTACCTGTGTCTCAGGACCATTGTATCTACCTACCTGTGTCTTGGGACCATCTAATCCACCTACCTATGTCTCAGGACCAACTTATCCACCTACCTGTGTCTCAGGACCAAACAATCCACCTACTTGTGTCTCAGGACCAAACAATCCACCTACTTGTGTCTCAGGACCATCTAATCCACCTACCATTGTCTCAGGACTAATTAATCCACCTACCTGTGTCTCAGGACCAGATCTTGCTATGGCAGAAATGGTACTTGTTCCAAGTGTATTCACCATCTTCTGGAATTTCTGAACCTATATCAACAACGGAAAAGTAAATAAATTGAAAAGTTCAATAAACTAGTCTGTCAGACAATTATTCTGTATGATAGAAGTGATCGGAAGATCAGGAAAGAAGGGAGCAATACAGAGGCTTTTCAAAGTAAATAAATGTGTATCCAATTGGAATTTGTACTAGCTGGGAACTTTAATGTAAGTCTTATATTACACTGGTATGTAAAAACACCCTTAAATTTGACAATCTACTTCAGACAAAAAGTGCATATTGGAAACTAACTTCTCACACCTCTAGACAGAGATATAAGAAGTGATACCTAGTGCTAGGTTTTTCTATCTCGTCCAATCTGTCTGGCACCTTTCAGTGACATTTCATGGAATTTTCACTCAGCAATGTATTCATCCGCCTGCTAATGCTCGTAATTGACAATTGTCAGTATAAATATTCTGTTTTGTTGTTATATGTAATGTTTAATGTTGTTAAGAATCCTGATGTTGTAGATCAATATAAAATATAGTCCATACTGTGAAATACATTTTCCTCTTTGTAAAGAAGGACTACATCGTGTAAACAGAAGCATTCAAATGTAGCTTTAGTAGTGAAGAGGCCATAAATACTTCAGGCCTGAGACAAAATACTTGTAGTCTTTAGTGAAATTGAATAGTTTTTCGAACTAAAAGATGAGAGAAAAAAATCAATCACCTGTAACTGAGTGAGATCGTGATATCTCAGTCTCGGGTTAAGATTCTGTAACATCCCAACCTCAGCTTACACCTTGGTCAAGATTATGTTACAGAATCTTAGCCCTTGTCTGTGATAACCCGATCACGCTCAGTTACAGGTAATAGATTTTATAAATCTGCATGTGATACATTCAAATTTCGCGATAATCCTAGTGATAGACATGATCTAACCTCTATGTCAGCCATGGTGCGAAGTCGGTGTACCTCCAGCTCTGTCTGGCTTCGTTGATAAGACAACTCTTGCTTCCTCAACTGTAAAGATAGTTTATTATGTTCTTACTGTGTTTTTCTTTCATAGAGGTCCAGGAGACCTTGACATTCAAAATTAGGTCAGGTGACATTTCAATATGGAATAGGGTCAAATAAGTGCCCAGTTGACCTTGACATTGAAAATTAGGTCAGGTGACATTTCCATTAGGAATAGAGTCAAATAAGTGCCCAGTTGACCTTGACATTAGAAATATGTACCCAGATGGCCTAGATATTTCCCCCCCCC